CCCCCCCCACCCTCTGCCATACATTATGAACGCAGCCTAACAATGATTGGACTCTGAGTCAAGGACAGATCAATGAATATCGCAAGTCTTTGATTCAGTATAACTTGTTGCTTCATTACTCATTGAAGTTGTTTGGTTTTGATCCACCCACAGTTCTTTGAATTTTTTGGCTATCATGATACTGGCTCCAAATGAAACCGTATTTTTCTATACTCCCAAATATTGGAATAATGGATGCAACGATAAAACATTTTTTAGATCCTATTGTAATATAGGCTTCCCATTCACAAAAAACTTGCTCTAATCATGTGTACATCACTTACCTTGAATTAATGCAACAGGATATTGGTGCTTAGCAGAAATCTTCTAATATACCTCTTTATTCAAATGCAAGCGGATTCCTCAAAAATAAAGGTCTATTTGGAGCTTTCCGAAGTTGTATTGCATTGCATTATGGGGTTGTTTTGAGAGACGCTTCATCAGTCAATTAACATTTTATGCAACAAGAAAAATGAAAGAAATTTGAAAATTGACACAACGACTAAGGTTTCATATCATTTTTCAAACCCCAATAGAGGCTTTGCACAATCACGTGATGGCAGCCATGAGAGGAGGCACAACAATGGTATTTTCCCCCTTGGAAACGGAATTCTTTCTTAGGTAAATCAGATTAGACCAGATTCAACTGTTCTTGCTTGTCATGGCTGCCTGCAATCATGTGATGGTGCAAAACCTGAATTAAAAGTATTAAAGTGCCCCTGACTACCCCATGACGCAATGCCTTCTGCAACCCCGCAAAGGGCAATAGACTTGGGCATAATGTTTTTCCAATTCATATTGTGAATCTTCAGGGACTGTGTAATCAAATAAGCATGCTATAAGCTGTATTGCTTAGGAGAAGATTCTATGCTTAGAACTAGAGAATGCTTAACACCAATATCCCATTTTCAAAGTTGAAGTGTGTGAAATCATATGTAAGATGATAACAAGTATGAAATGTAAAAAATGCCTAGTTACTTAAGTTTAACGAGGTCGGGGCCCGTCTATTTGTTGCATGAACGCACCGCCAGGAAACCCAACTCCTTGATGCAGCATTCTCAGCCCAGGATTTTGGGTACCACTTAATGGGGGTCCTGGGGGCTGTGGTAGGAGACCAGGTCCCCCAGGTCTGGGTGGCATGTTAAAAAGTCCAGTCTGGGGTCCTCCTGGTCGCTGGGGGGGAAAGCCAGGTGGGTGATTGCCAAGGAGGGGTCGGGCATTTGGTTGGTATCCAGATGGTACAGAGACTTGGACATTCATTAGAGGTTGGTGGTTTTGCTGCATGGTGGGAAGTCCAGTCCCAGGAGGCCCTGCCATTCCCACTAAAGGATTAACGGCCATTGTGGGGATATTTGCAGTAGGTAAACTTTGTGTTTTTGAAGCATACTTGGGTAATGATGCCCTCTTTTCTTCCTAAAAAAATCAAGGAAAAACATGTGAATAACAGGTGAATAATTTTAACTTCCAAGAAAATGCATACTTTAAATAACGAAACAATCACGTCACGATACAATCACATCATGATACAATCACATTATTTTCAAAACACACTAGCGCACGATCAACTATAACCGGGATCATGCTGAGGTAACCACTTAAAATGTAAGGGCTATTTAAGGAGTATACGAGGACCCAAAAATGAATTTTCAAGGGGTATGTTCAGCTAACTATGCCAAAATTTTACACGGTGGTTGCACATGGCCGACTTTTAGATTTTCCAATCTTTCTGACTAGATCTATTTCAGAACCATGCAAGTAATGATCAAAGCAGAAATTCAAGGAATTTTCAAGGAGTTTTTCTAAAATAGTAAAATTCAAGAGCTTTTCAAGTGCTCTTGAAAACGTGAATTAAATTCAAGGAGTTTTCAAGGAATTTAAGGAGTAGCACGAACCCTGTATAGAATACCACTGAAAAATGTTTGTGCAAGTTCACTTGGTTACATGTAATAATTTGTCTTTTTTAGTTGTTGTGAAACATGCAGAGGACCCTGCTCAATGAATTAAAGCTGGAGAACCAAAAGAAAAGCTCTCAAAAATCTCACAAGAGTGAACTAACAAGCAAGCAGCAGTCTACTGAAGCTGCAGTGCCACGAGGAATCAAAATTCAAATAAAATGTTAAACTTACAAGTGATATATCCTCATCTGGATGAATAAGTTTACTAGTTGCACCAGGTGCCACAATTATTGCTGGTTTAGACACCATGGGAGCAGATGTTGGTGGTGGAACAACTTGTTTACCTGAAGCTAGTATAATAAATTAATATTAATAGAAGGCATAAGTAAATGTAAGGCATGACATAGGCAATAGGCTCGATAACATTGGTGCATTGAGGTCTAGCTTTGGTACAACAAAAAACAAAACAACATAAGCAATTGTCCTATTTCACTATGACGTCACTGCTTGTTTATGTGGGGGATAGAATCGCCAAATCCAATAGAAAGTTCAACAAAATTTGCTCCTAGCGAAACAGTTTRAWCTAAAATGGCCTGGTTTTCAGATATAATATGTGTTAATATGTACTAAAACATATTCTGAGAGTTTGCTGGCTATTCTACTTCTCTTCATGGATTGATACGGGTTTTAGAACAATTTTTGGTGAATTTGCATTGATTTGACCCCCTCCAACGACCATGATCCTTTGTGTTTGAACAATAGACTGTTTTGATGTGACGTCATAGTGAAATAGGGCAATTCTGGCGCAATTTTGCGCTGACACATGTTCGCGACATAAGTTTCAATTGCACAAGTAGAAAGTAGTTCTACTTTTCCTGAAACTTTCATGTGACAAAAGATTCACCAAGCCTAAATTGCACTGTGTAACATCCCCCTGAAGCTTGTCTCAAAATGCTGTTGCACACAAGTTTCAGCTTAAAGTTTCAATGTGTAACAAGGCCTTTAAGGTGGTTGGGTATAGCAATGGTAAATACATATATGGGGAGTCTGAACCAAAGATGTCCAAGAAAACACCAGTTTCACATTCAATGCATACCGCTGTTTTTGAAGATTACAGACTCATTTGCACAGGCTTAGCCTTGTTTATAAGTCAGCTATTCACAGATACCATTAAAATCCTGTGGGATTTCAAAACATTGGTATTGTTCGAGCTGCACATTCTTTACATTAAAATTGACATTTGCAAATGATTTTACTCTTAAGAGAGGCTAAACCTGCAGAGATGGGTCTTCAGTCTTAAAACACAGCAGTATTTATGGAATGAGAAAAGAAACTATTCAAAACCATTACCTCCAGATACTGTAGGACCACTAGAATAGGAAGATGAATTACTGGATAAAGGTTTGAAGTCAGCACCTACAGGTCCAGTTGCCTTCGATGTTTCTGCCGATCCATTTACATTCTATATAAACACAATACATTTAGTATAGGACACCATACTGGTCTTGTATTTAGTACCAAACCTTTTCTCCAGCTGAAAAGCAAGTCCTACCTTTTTAATTCTAGGTATATGTTTACATTCTGCAAATGTGGCAAGCTTTAAAAGTTGCATATCAATCAAATCAGCAAGGCAATGCTGGGCTTATAATGTGTGCCAAAGCTTCTTTGAGTCCTGCTATGATAATGATGACTCTCTTAAAGGACAAAAACCTTCAAATTCAATTTTTTTCTAACCTGAAAACTCCTTCTGGGTTGACCAAAGTCAGGGTGTGGCTAATTCACTGATCAAATTGGAATTTGGTGTTCAAAATTTTGCAGAGGAAGTATACTAAGAGAACTCAAAGAAAACCCTTGGAATCAATGCAGAGGTCTAACAAACTCTACTCACATGTAATGCCGAGTCCAGGAATGAAACCTGGGACCCCAGAGGTGAGAGGTGAGTGCACTACTGTTATGCCACTCTTGCATCCAGACAAAAAGCCAAAACCATCAGATTATATTAATCTTGATGGACTGAAATGTACTTACATGTAAAAGCCAAACAGATGGTTGGTCATAGACCAGCCAATGTACCTACCTGTGCTGATGGGAAGAGAGGTTTGCTAGTAGGTACCTGTGACCCTACAACACCAGGGGCCAGTTGAGGCTGAGCGCTGCCACTTACTGTCATTGATGTTGCTGCTGGCGCAGTCATGCTAAGGGAATTAAAAATAAGCTATGAACGTATTATCAAGAACTACTACCTCTGATATTCAGTCACACGCCTATGTCATCCCACCTTAAAAATGAATGCTGAACGGGAGGGTGGGCGGAAGGGTGTGCATCAGTGGATGAAAATAAAGGAATCTGGTTCGTTCTCAAAGCTGTCAGAATCCAGTCCAGAATGAGGATATTGATCTGGTCATTTAAATCTACCAACCTCACCTTTGGCTCAGTCCATTAAAAAAAATCTCAGATTTAAATATTGGCATTCCCTAACCTCGCATCAAGCTCAGCAAATCACCTCGATACATTTTCTAAGTAAATTTCAGTAAATGAAATGTATGGAGTATATGAGTTTTGTTAAGATAAACTTGAATAATATAAGGCAAGGTAAGACTCACTTATTATCACTTTTACCACCACAAGTATTGCAGTGGCACAGCTCAATGGGGTTGAACTGAAAGCAAGTATGTGGGTAATAAAATAAGCCAACTTGATTACTCCTGACCACCTTTCCAAGTTAAAGTTATATTTGTTTCTTGAATTATAACTATCTATTCCAAGGTTGGGAAAAAATTTGGGTCGAGGTAACATTGCAATGCATTCTGGGGCAGTTTTGGGGGGCATAATTCCAAGATGGCTTGTATTTCATCCCCTAAAACAGTCCCAAAATGCACTGCAATCATACAGCATATGCAAACTTGATCCAGTTTTTTCCCTTAACCTCTGAATAGCTAATAAAAAAACTCATGGGTGTATTTCCCCTCTGAATGGCTAATAAAAAATTTCCAAGTTCTCCCTGCTGAGCATCCTATGGGGATCGGGAAGGTCATGGTTTCCAATGTCCTATCAGGGACTGTGATTGTATTCTGAGTTCCTTTCAGCTAGAGACATTATGATAAAATTTCTACACTCCTTCCTACATGTAGTTAATTATTGTTTATGATCTATTTTTTTAAACGATTTTATCTGAATTTGAAAATCTTTTCGTGATATATGGTTAGTTTCATATCTATGCAATCTTGGGTCAGTGTGTGAAGATTATGGAATCTTATCAACTACATAGTTTTTACAACTAGCCTGTTTCGATGCTGATAGTCCAAAGAGATTACATGTTATATCCAGTCTGAAAAAAAACACTAAATCATAGCAAGTACGACAATAGATACTACTAAAGGTACTCACTATTTGTATGTCTTACCTCATTCCTGGTCTGGGTGCTGGTGGTCCAGGCATGCCTGGCATTGGTTGCATTCCTGGTAATGAAAATTCCAGATAAAGTCATCATTATAAACTGTCCTTGTTTGTTTTTGTTTTTATAAGGGGAAGCACTTAAATAGCCAGTGGTTAACAAACCTGTGGCCCTTGTTCCATGATCGAATTGGAATTTAGACATGTTTTTTGTGTGTGTGGAGGGAGTAAAATGGGAGAACTTGGAAAAAACTTGAAGAAAAGGAGGGAACCAACTAGGAACTTTACTAACAAACAAAACTGAGCCTGGCAGGACTTTAACTAGGGTCATATTGATGAGAGGCGAAACCCATTGTGGAATTTACTTAGCCTTTTTTAGTTATACATCACTGAGTAAGTGCTGAAAGCAAGAAAGACAACACACCACAACCACCCCGCTGGCTCATTTGGTCTGTTGTGCTGGAGGTTCAGCCTTCACGGCCAGACCTACGATCAGGTTCTTAAAATATCCAAGTAGAAGGTACTGCATTTGCTCTCAAAATATCTGCAAATTGTTAGAAATTTGCTGTGGCTCGGATGACCATGTAAAATAGAGACACTTTGAGGCATCAAATGTAGCGAACTGACCTTAGTTCTGAACTACACATTATTATTATTGGTAAAGGTACAAAGAGAAACACAAGTTGTAAAGTAGGTGAGAGCTTCTGGTACTACTTGAGATTAACCCTACAAAGATCAAATCAAGGGTACCACCCATAGCACTTACCACGTACAGGTTGTCCAGGCATCATTTGCATTCCCATTGGAGGAGGGAAGCCGGGAGGCATCGGCATACCAGGAACACCCATCATTGGCATCATCGGCATCATACCAGGGACTGCCCCCATCATCGGCATCTGCATGGGTGTGTCCTCTTTTGCCTTCTTCGCAGCTGGCTCATCTGAAACATCTATAATGATAATAAAAGTGTCCAGTGTTAGCCAGCAAATGGACCAAAATAGGTATCGCATAGGCCAATTCCTAACCATTTATTTCAGTTTTTGTTGCAAAGAGTACGAAATTTGCTTTAAATTTTAGTGTTCACACTTGGTGAGTTCAAGTGCAAATGAACAAATTCTCACGGTCTGATTGGCTAACTAGTAAAAAAATAAGTTAGGCTGCCATGGTTGGGCACATTACACTGTAAAACCAGGCTATGAAGACTATGATTATCAAAAGTTGAGCCTCCTAAAGCCTCGTTTACACTAGCAATTTTTGTGGCCAATTTTTTGTGATTTTGCCCATAATAAACGATGGTAAAGAATTTACTTGTAAAGTTTTTTTCAGTATACCAAGATTTTCCTAGACGAATGTCTCCTTTGAAGGATGAGACAAAAGATTTCTTATTTCCTAAAATTGCCACAAAAGTTGCAGCAAAAATGGCAGCAAAAATCGCCAGTGTGAACGGGGCTAAAAAAAATCACATCAAGTTTTTTTTCTATCACCTGTATCTTCTTTGCCTTGCCTTTGTTGCTGTCTTTCTTTCACATCTTTGTCCGGAATGCCTTCCATTCCATAGATTTCTACTTCTGGGTCTCCTCTATTGGGTAATGAGTTAGGTATACTTGGTACATTCTCTTTGTGAACTTGCATACAGTGAATCGCCAATCCTGGTCCTGTATATAACTTTTTATGACAGATCATGCATTTGAAATGCTTTGCTTTTTGGTGTTGGATTAAGATTTTTTCATCATCAAAATCTCTGTTACAGTACCTGATTTGAAGTTAAGGTTAAAGCACAATCAATTCAAAATTATCATTACACGGATCCCCTGAAGTTTGTTTTAACAAGCAGCATGCAGGCTGCTCATTGAAATGCTCTGCAGTCCGGAGGTAAGCATGTTTACTGGTATAAGGTTGCCACAAATAGACAATAATTTTGTTACTGCCCACTTTCAATAGTATACAGCTATTTCAAAAAAGTAGTAATAAATTATGTGTTCGGTGTGTGTAATGAAATAGAGAGAAGAAGAGAAAAATATCAAATGCCCTTGGCGGGAATCGAACCCACGTCTTCGGTATTCCAGTCCGATGTGTCTACCACTACACTACAAGGACCAACCACGCTGGTAACACAGCCGGAATATGAAATGTAGGGTACTGAGTAGTGGTTAACACATAGGACTAGAATACCGAAGACGTGGGTTTGATTCCCGCCAAGGACATTTGATATTTTTCTCTTATTTTCTCTATTTCAAAAAAGGTTGAATGTTGAAGAGTGTATATTAAATAGTGCATTCCGAGACCAAAGTGCATTGTGGGTGATAGTGACATTGTCTAAAGTAGGATTAATAACTATTATTTATTCTATTTTTAGTGTATTCTATCTGAAACAATATACTAACTACATGTAAAGAGTTAATTATTGCTGTATAGCATTAGAAGATTTTATCAGTGCTTCAGGGCAGCTTTCTATTGAACCTATTCTATCAAATTTGAAATATCACTTGATGCTAAGTTTTGAATCCTGAAAGTATTTGACAAATAATTTGGTGGAATCTTTGATCTTAAAAAAAGTCTGTCATATTATTATCTGTTACGCTGAAAATTTTAGCAATAGATTAAAGCATTTGACAGCCATTCACATCAGAATTGAGAAAAGGATTCCACAATAACTCATATAAATGGGACTAAATGGGCTAAATGGGCTTGGACGGACAGTTTAAATGGCGGTTCCGTCTCTCCACTCTCATTATTACTAACCAACATCAGAGGGACGTAAAAGAACCACTGAGGACGTAAAGAAACCCTGGCAGTGACCACCCTCAGTGCCTACACTTCATACTAACCATCTCTCATGCTTGTAAATCGCATAAAAGCAATCTGTCATTCACAACTCAATGTAAAGCGCATGTGATTATATTCATATAGAAAAGGTGCTATATAAATTCATAAATTATCAAATCATCATCAGCATTAACACTGTATAAATAAGTCTGTGACTATTGAAACCAGCAACATAGATAGATTGAAAACAACGGAGGCATTTTCTCAAATATGCACTTTTACACTGCATTTTCTGGTCAAAAATAGAAAGAAAAAAGAAAGAACAGGTATCCCACAACTATTAGTAAGCTTACTGACGTATCTCTTTAACTCAAATAACTTTGTATTTCAAAAATAAAATAAAAAACTTGATTCAAATATTAAAATATAACTAATGACGTGCTTCGAGGTTATTGTTTGATTTTGACCATGGCTTCTTACTAACTTCAATGCGCAAGAAAAATAATTTCAAAACCAAACCAGACAAAGAAGCATGAAAATTACGACATCTATGGCATAAAATGAAGCCCAGCTTATCGAGTTTCGCGTTATTTAGATCAAGTTGAGGATATTTTCGAGAAAACACAAGAATTTGCGTTACCCAAGCTAACATTTTACCTTCGATGACATGCTTGAAAAACTGGACAAAAAACACCGTAAAAATACCTAATCAATAAAATAACACTTTAAAAAGGATACCAACACCATGGCTTCATAGACTTCTTCTTTTTTCGTCCCATTTTGTCTTGAAATAATGAATAAAAAGCGATTTAAGGTGGAATTATTTGAACAAAGTATTAAAGTCACCACATGCATAAAATGGCTGCCAATGAATAGAGTTTCCCGGATGTAGATGATGATCCAAAACACAGGAAGCCCAAGGAGATCGAAAGTAACCCTAAAATACTCTCCACCTCGCTGGCCTGATCCAGATATATGATAGATCGAACTCTGAAGCAGAAAATCATTTTTTATTTCTATGATATATATTTTATTAATTTTCAAGTCGAAAAAAAAAGCGTAGAAAAAAGATCCTGGTCAAAAGCTTGAGCAGGCATATTCTTAGGTGCACCCATCCAGGTACTGATCGTGCTTAGACGGCCTTGACTCAGTGTCATTGAAGCCCAAGTTTTTTCCACTGGGCCACGTTTCCAGGTGAATCAGCATAACAATAGCGTTGAAAACCATGCACCGAATAGACTAGACTTTTTAGCATGTATTTTTCAACCGATTCCGTGCGTGGCAGAGATGCAAGGGATTAGCCGATATGGTCTGGCTGGTCTCTCCCCTGATGCTTCGGCTAGAACATTTTCTTGCGTAATTCGTACACCCAGGGGCAGAAGGATTTAATCGCCGTCAGGTCCGAAGTCCATACGACGCCCCAGCTCTGCGGATGTCTCGGGAGTATGGCAAAGTGGAGTCGTTTTTTTTGGGGGGGTTTTTTTTTCTTATCTTTTTTTGAATTTCTGTCAGTGGACTATCGGTCCAAATCCCACCTTATTAAGATTTTTTTTTCTTTTTTTTTTAGTTCCTTTTCAGTCTTTCTTTTCTTTTTTCTTTTTTTTTTT